TTCCCACTTTTAATCTATCTCCGATGATGCGCTCAAGTATGAGTGTGAAACGTCAGATGAATAAATCATCCTCCCCAGAGATCTCTTTACCTTCTTCCATCTCAACACCTGGGGTCGGCATTTTCGCCTATATCCATATATACATATATATATATGAGAAGAAACGTCGATCTCAGGAACCATTGCTTTACTGTCCTGACGTTTCAAAAGCATACAAGCTTCCATCGTCGTAGGTGAGTGTGGTATCGCACCTCACATTATTTATAGATGGGTGAAAGTCATGTCAAAACGGGTTTTCTTACATATGAAGTCAGGGCGGCTGGGGGGAAGGGGCAGGGGGGAAGGGGCAGGGGGAGTCCTAGAGCGTCTTTACTCCGGATGAGTGGGTGGTGGATCAGCTTTAGTGGTCATCAGCCGCATGAACACATGAACTGTGGCGGCCGGGGGAGGGGGGTGAGGGAGGGAGGGTGACGGAATGTACTCAATCTACATCGGAGGCCGGCGTTGAGACGTTGGTGGTCGTCGTTCGTACCTTCATTGAGCGTAGCTGTCGTCCAAACCTGGCAATCTTGTTTACGCCGCAACGAATGTCCGTTTTCTCGTCCGCCGGCCTAGTAGATGGACCGGCTGTGGTGAGCACTGCGCCTCTGTCGGAACCCGGTTGAGGGGTGGCTGAGTGTGTATCCGCCATGGACTCGCTCATGTCTGGATTAATGTTTTGCCTGGGTGCACGTCTGCTCATTTGTTTACTGAGCTGCGCTCGAAGGGCTTTATAGGCAGCGGGAAGAGCCACACAGCGGTTGATGGAGGTTGTCCCCGTCTGCCAAGCCTCGATTTTTTCCCTGGCTATGCGATCGTTTTCCCGGCCCAGAATTTCGGCATGCTGAAAGGCGAACGTGTGTCCGGCATCGACGCAGTGTTCGGCCACCAGAGACAAAGGGTCCATTCGCCTTACTGCCCTCATGTGTTTTCCAACACGAGTCTGTAGCTGTTTGCCGGTCTCCCCAATGTAGTTGACTTCGCGGGAGTTACACCGGATCCGGTGGATGACGTTCGTGGTTTCACCTAGTGGCAGAGGGGCCTTAGGTCTCATGACCAGATGTCGAATTGTTGACACCGGTCGGTGGGCGATTCCGATCCCCAGCGGTCTTAAGAGATGCGAGACGGCCTCAGAAACGCCGTCGATGTATGGAAGCGCCCGCCATATTGTTGGTCGTTCTGTCACCAAACGTCGGCTCGGTCCGGCCTGTCTGCCGCGTTCGATGAAATTGCGAGGATACCCGTTGGCCATGAAGAGGCGCTGGAGGTAGCGTAATTCTGACCTTCTGTCGTCCAGCTCGCTGCAGTGTGTTTCTGCCCTTCTGTAGAGTGTTCGCACACAACTGCGTTTGTGGCCTAACGAGTGCTTACTGTGGAAGCTGAGGATTTGGCGCGTATTAGTGACCTTCCTATATACCGTCGTTTTAAGGTGCCCATTGGGTTTTCGATGGACGAGAACGTTCAGGAACGGGAGTTGATTGTTGGCTTCCGCCTCCATTGTGAACTGGATGTCAAGGAAAACAGAGTTCAGGACATCATGGAATTCCTTGACCATTTGCCGCTTAATGATAACGAAGGTATCATCGACATATCGAGCCCAAAATTTCGGCTTATAGGTTGAGAAAACGAGGGTCTCTACTTTTTTGGAGAACTGCCTCTGCGATGAAGCCCGAGAGCGGCGATCCCATTGGCGTCCCCTTGACCTGCTCGTAGGTCGTGCCTTCAAAGGTAAAGTACGTCTTCAGGCAGAATCTCAGCAATTGGACGAGATGTCTCCTTTTTACCGTCACGTCCGTCTCGTCGTACTGACTCTCGAGCAGCTCGCTGACCGTTTTGATTGTCAGGTCTTGCGGGATCGAGGTGAAAAGAGAGGTGACGTCGAATGACACCATGAGCTCGTCTTCGGTAAGTCTCATCCCTTTGATCCGCTCCAGGAACTGAGTCGCTGAACAGACCGTCGTGCCCGCGTCCGAGGTGAGAGACCTCAGGTTTCGGAACAGCCATTTGGCCAAATTAAATGTAGGTGCGCCGCGCAATGATACGATTGGCCGGAGGGGGACCCCGGCTTTGTGTACCTTTGGTAGTCCGTAGAACCTTGGTGCGGCCGCGTCTACTGGCTTAATGGCAAGTCGTACCGATTTACTTATTGTCTTGCTCGTTTGCATATCGGCGAGTGTCTTGTCCAGTTGCGTCACCAGCCTCCTCATAGGTTCATCGTTAAATGGTAGGTACGCCTGTCGGTCCTCTAGTAGGGCATTGGCCTTCTGAATGTAGTCTGCCTTATCCATCACAACTGTGGAACGCCCTTTGTCTGGAGGTAGAATCACGATGCTGGTGTCAGCCCTCAGTGTCTTGAGAGCGCTCTGCTCGGCCTTGGTAATATTTGCACGCGGTTTGTGTGACATCGCCAAGGAGGCTACCTGCTGTCGAATGATATGCTTTGTTTCATCGGATTCCCGGGTTGTTTGAGAATCGACTCTACCGTGGCCATGAGATTGACTGGATCGGCGTCTGTGGTATTGAAGCAAGCCTCATGACTCAGCACTTTCGTTTGTGCAGGAGTCAACTGCTTAGAGGACATATTGTGCACCAGGACTTCGTTCTCCCCTTGAGATTATTTGCTTATGCTTTGGAGCTTGACCGCTAGCTCGGCATCTCTCATTGCTCGCAGGTTCCGGGCCCGTTTAATAATCACTTGTTGCAACTGCGCGACTCCGTCATCAACGATGAGTTCGACGCATTTTGGTACCGCCTGGTTCAAAACCCTGTTGTATTTACGCAGTCGAAGATGACAATCTTGGAGAAGCGCCCGAATCATTCGTCTGCCATGTTCAGCCACCCACCATGTAGCCAGACTTGTGTTAACCGGTGGCCTGTACGACAGGCTCTTCGGAAGCACATGATTGTCAAGGCATCTGTGGAGGAATTGTATTTGCGCGTACGTAGAAGACACACGAAGGGAGAATATTTCCCAGCGTCGTGCAGACTCAAGCGCTTCGCGCCCGAAAATATTGCTAATAGAAGCGAAGATGCGCGTACGCTCAATGAAGGTACGAACGACGACCACCAACGTCTCAACGCCGGCCTCCGATGTAGATTGAGTACATTCCGTCACCCTCCCTCCCTCACCCCCCTCCCCCGGCCGCCACAGTTCATGTGTTCATGCGGCTGATGACCACTAAAGCTGATCCACCACCCACTCATCCGGAGTAAAGACGCTCTAGGACTCCCCCTGCCCCTTCCCCCCTGCCCCTTCCCCCCAGCCGCCCTGACTTCATATGTAAGAAAACCCGTTTTGACATGACTTTCACCCATCTATAAATAATGTGAGGTGCGATACCACACTCACCTACGACGATGGAAGCTTGTATGCTTTTGAAACGTCAGGACAGTAAAGCAATGGTTCCTGAGATCGCCTGTTCTGCTCACTTATGTCCGGGGACGCGCATTTTCGCTTCTATTAGCAATATATATATACATATGAGATGATACCGACAAAGACAATGGAGACTGGAATGACCATTTCTGGCTTATTAGCCGTCATCAGCCAGTCATACCCAACCCCTAGTGTGGATCACTTGAGATTCGAACCCAGGATCTTTGCTCATGGAGTTTGACGCTCAACCATTGAGCCACGGGCCCGTTGTCCTGTCGGTTGTGATCAAGAATATTAATTATGACAGTGGGCGCTCGCCGATCAGGTTACGGAACATGCTCGTTCCGTTGTGCCTTGGGGCTCATACCCGAACCCTCGCACGTAGTCGCACAGCGACTAGTAGTAGACATAGACAGGACAACGGGCTCGTGGCTCAATGGTTCAGCGTCGAACTCCATGACCAAAGATCCCGGGTTCGAATCTCAAGTGATCCACACTTGGGGTTGGGTATGACTGGCTGATGACGGCTAATAAGCCAGAAATGGCCATTCCGGTCTCCCTTGTCTTTGTCGGTACCACCTGATTTACATCATTCTACTAGTCGCTGTGCGACTGCCTGCGAGGGTTCTAGTATGAGCCCCAAGGCACAATGGAACGAGCGTGTTCGGTAACCTGATCGGCGAACGCCCACTGTCATAAATATATATATATATGCATGCCAAGTGGGCGTTTGACCCTCACTGTTGTGGTTAGGATCTCACTCGATCTCATTCTGTCCGCCCCTCAGCTTGCTACTGGCGACAACGAACGCTGTGTCAGAGGACACATACCACATATAATACATGAGCAGCTCGCTAAGAGTGCAACAGGCCAGACGCAGACAGTTGTTTCACGGTCGTTATCGATCATCAGTACGTCACTTGCACTCTTAGCGAGCTGCTCATGTATTATATGTGGTATGTGTCCTCTGACACAGCGTTCGTTGTCGCCAGTAGCAAGCTGGCGGGCGGGCAGAATGGGATCGAGTGAGATCCTAACCACAACAGTGAGGGTCAAACGCCCACTTGACATGCTTATATACCTCACTTCATAAGGCCTATGACGTACTGATGATCGGTAACGACCGTGAAACAGCTGTCCGCGTCTGGCCTGTTGCACCCTTAGCGAGCTGCTCATGTATTATATATATATATATATATATATATATATATCGCGTTCAACATCTCCCGAAGAAGACGAAGAAGAAGAGAGGGCGAATCCATGGACCATATTGTATTCGAACTGACGTTTTGGAAACTTCCTCGTTTCCATCATCAGAGTAGCGTAATTGTTGCACTTTCCGGTCTTGAGTTATTCTGTCTTGCCGCTTGCCTCGTATTATAGCCATGCTTGACGCACGAACTTTGACCTGCCTCTGCTGCTGACTGGCTTAGACCTCCCCGGGGCTGACGGCTGACAGGCCTGCGTGACCTTTGTTCCCTTTGGGGTCGGCGTAATTGTGGTTAAATCAGCGTGCCGCTTGGCCTCTCCCACGTCAGCCGGTGGACTGATCGGTCGTTGCTGTTCAGGTGAGCAGCATTCAGCTTCGCGGTCGCATCGGGGAGACAGTGTTCGGCTTTGGTCACATGACCTCTGGCCCCCAATTGCGCTCGTTTCCGTGAGCGTTGACTCTTGGTCCCGCGTGCTCGCTTGCCTTACTGGTCCTGTCCGGACTGATCCGAGCCGTGTATGCAGCGCTTGGTAGGCGGGGTGTAGATCTATAGCTCGGTTGAGTATACCAGCCGAGGACCAACTTTCGAGCACCAGTCTAGCCATCTTCTCATTGGCTCGACCAACTACCCTCGCTTTCTCAAAGGCAAAATCGTGTTTAAGTTCTCCTTGTGGCCATAGACCAAAGACAGCTTGTCCTTGCGGTTGATTCCAAGTTGGTGTTCGTGCAATCTTGTACCGGGGCGTTTGCCCGTTTCACCAACATACCTCGCATTGCAATTTAGGCATGTTATGCTGTAGACCACCGCCGACTGTTCTTTTGTTGGTAGCGGGTCTTTGGGCTTCATGATTTGCTGTATGATGGTGCATTCTGGTTTATGAGCCACGCCAATCCCAAAAGGTGTCAGGATTCTTGCCGTTGCCTCTGATACTTTCTTCACATACGGTATTGAGAGCCAGAACTTGGGCTTTTCTCCACTCGACCGCTCAAAATGAGGCTTTTTGAGGCAATTGCGTATGAAGGACTTCGGGTAGCCGTTGGCTTTAAAAAGGGCCTGCAAGTAATTCACCACCTCCTTCCTCCCACTGTCGTCGCTACAGTGTGTTTGGACACGTTGAGAGAGAATTCTGACACAACTGCGTTTATGACCAACAGGGTGGTTGCTTCGGAAGTGGAGGATGCGCCTGGTATTTGTTGCCTTACGGTAAACCGTTGTCCTTATCTTCCCGTCTGTCAATCTCGTAACTTGTTCGTCCAGGAAGGGGAACTGATTGTTGACTTCCTCTTCCATAGTAAACTGAATGTCGCGAAAGATTGAGTTCAACAATGCCTTGAAATCCTTCACCTCGCTCCTCTTGATTACAAAGAACATTTCGTCGACGTATCTGGCCCAGAACTTCGGGGGGTACCAGCTGCAGACCTGCTGCTCGAGTCTCTGCAAAACTGCTTCGGCAATTAGTCCAGACAGAGGCGAGCCCATCGGTGTCCCCTTCTTTTGCTCGTAGACTTGGCCGTTGAATGTAAAGAAGGTCTTAAGACGCAGTTCTAGGAGCTCGATGATGTGTGCTCGTTTGAGCTGTTGGTCGGTTTCATCATACTTTTCCCGGAGAAAGTCATCAATTGTGTCGATAGCCAGCGCGGGTGGGATGGAGGTGAATAATGAGATCACGTCAAATGACAACATCACCTCATCTGCCTCCACTTCGAGATGTTTGATGCGCGTCAAGAACTCTTCAGCTGACTTCACTGTCCACTCCGAATCCTTGGTAAGGAAACAAAGTCGCTGGTACAGCCACTTTGACAGTCCAAAGTTTGGAGTACCACGTAAGGAGACGATAGGGCATAGCGGTACCCCCTGCTTGTGGACCTTTGGTAGGCCGTAGGAGCGCGCCATCGCGGTATCACTGGCTTTTACGGCCAAGGCCTCCCTTCTCGTAAAAGCTCCCGCCTTCCTCAGCTTGCGATCGTATTCTTTATGCTGTTTACGAGCGTCTTAAACTTGCTGACGGTCGATAGCACATAAGCTTCCTTGTCCATCAAGAGGTTGCCTAGTTTTGTGCAGTATTCAGTTTTATCCATAACGAGAGTCGAGCGCCCCTTGTGGGCGGGCAGGGTGACGATATCCTTCACTTTTCATATCTTCAGAAGTTCTCGATCTTCTCCTTTAGAAATCGTCATCTGGCGTTTGTGTTGGAGGAGTAAGGTCGACACATGTTGTCGCATGGCGTTTTTGCACTCCTGGCCTGCCTCACACTTCTGGATCACCAGAAGTGTAAGGAGATGATGAACGCGATATATATATATATATATGTAGTAAAGGAATTATACCGTACTCCCGACCTAGATACTTGCTAAAAGCCCAGACACGTGTTTCGCCGATACTCTGCCGCTGCGTGAACCAGCTGCGAGGGGTTCGGCTCTTCAGTGGGACCCCAGCGTTCTCTAGCGGTTTCCGGTATACGAACTCCAGAGAATAATCACGTGAATAATTTCAGAAATTACTCAGTGCAGAACTTGGAGTTAAATCTCCGGGCATTGCGTAGTTATTCCAGAGTAGTTAATTGTCTTCGACTCAAATGTTCATTGAAATTTCGGTTCTGACCCTAAAAAGTCATGTCCCGGAGATTTAACTCCAAGTTCTGCACTGATTAATTTCTGAAATCATTCACCTGATATATATATATATATATATATATATATATGTTAGGGGGCGCTCACCGATCGTTCATACGGAACTCACTCGTTCCGTTGTGCCTTATGGACTCTCTCTCGAGCCCAACCAGCAGCCGCACAGCGGCGCATGATATATAGGCAGAATAGTATTACCGACAAAGACAAGGGAGACTGGAATGGCCATTTCTGGCTTATTAGCCGTCGTCAGCCAGCCAGGCTGAGTCAGGCTCGAGAGAGAGTCCATAAGGCACAACGGAACGAGTGAGTTCCGTATGAACGATCGGTGAGCGCCCCCTAACATTGTATATTCCCGATCGAAAACCGACAAGGCAACGGGCTCGTGGCCCGGTGAGTAGAGGCGTTGACTTCTAAACCAACAGGTCGCGAGTTCGAGGCTCGGGTGTTCCACACTTCGGGCTTGGGTATGGCTGGCTGACGACGGCTAATAAGCCAGAAATGGCCATTCCAGTCTCCCTTGTCTTTGTCGGTAATACTATTCTGCCCATATATATATATATATATATATATTAGCGAGGAGGGACGACAGAATATGCGAGTAGATTGATACAGCACTGTATCGGGCTTATTCTGCCTTCATTCAGCCAATCATAACCCTGACCACCAGCAGCTGGGACCAGAAACACAAACATGCGCCCAGACGCACCTGGCGCAGTCGGTCCACCACTGAGGCCTACCAGATGGGTCGTAAGCACTTAATCGAACCGAAGTTCATCAGATCCTCGCCAGCTGTCATTCTCTGTCGCTGCAGATCGGGTATTTATCAATCAGGAATGGGCGCACACCGATCTATTGTCTTTGCAAAGCAAATAAGCTCCGTATGTGTGGCAAAGGTCACGAACAGGCAACCAATTACCAGGCCGAAGTCGGTGTGCCTTGGGTCTCATACTTAAACCCTAACAGGCAGTCGCACAACGACTAGTGGTATATGTTGATAAGGTGATCCACACTTGGGGTTGGGTATGACTGGCTGATGACGGCTAATAAGCCAGAAATGGCCATTCCGGTCTCCCTTGTCTTTGTCGGTATTACCTTTCCAACATATATCACTAGTCGCTGTGCGACTGCCTGCGAGGGTTCCAGTATGAGCCCCAAGGCACAACAGAACGATCATATTCTGTAACCTGATCGGTGAGCGCCCATCTTTCATAACTGATATTCCCGATCACAACCGACAGGACAACGGGCCCGTGGCTCAATGGTAGAGCGTCAAACTCCATGAGCAAAGATCCCGGGTTCGAATCTCAAGTGATCCATACATGGGGTTGGGTATGACTGGCTGATGACGGCTAATAAGCCAGAAATGGTCATTCCGGTCTCGCTTATCTTTGTCGGTATCACCTTATTAACATATATATATTTAGAGTTTCTCCAGAGGCTTTTACACAGAGTCCTATTGTTGGAATACGTGCAGGCTGGTGGTTATGACTGAACGCTGTGAGACAACACAATAGATAAATGTCGCAATAATTGCCGAACTCTGTGTCTAAAGTTGATTGTTACACCTTCATAATTCAAGCCG